GCTCACAACAACAGGAAAGCCACCGACCTGCTCGGCACTCAGTGACTCTGTCACATTACGAGGAAATTGAAGGCGCGTTCGTATCAGAGCTCACATTTAGAGCACAGAGCCTGAGGCCGGCGGCATGACGCACCTTCAGGTAAAATCCCACCGGGCTTTCCGCTCAGGTTTAAGGGTAGGAAACCCCACAGCACAGCGAATTTTAATACTGTGTCAGTGCAATTCCAGGCCAGGAGAAGAAACCTGTTACTTCTGCTGAAGGCTCAAGGTGTCAGATGTGTCTTGAGTCGAAACGCACTGACGCACACCCAGCCAGGCTCTGCAACAGCCCTGCGTCCTGCTCGCTGCCGTGACGCCCAGCGCGGGCCGATCCGTGGCACAGCGGAAGGAGAGCGTGCCCATGCCAGAGGGGTCGGCACCGTCACGAGGGCCGGGACCCGGAGCGCCGCTGTGACCCCGGGGCCGACGGTCTGCACGCCTGCCCCTGGCACCACCGCGGCCTTCGTCTTCAGGGATCTTCGTCCCCCGGTCGCAGCACAACGCCAGCAGGTCCGTTCTGGAGGCGAGAGGCCCCTGCGCTCCTGTCACACTGCCTGTCGCTCCTACTGCAGGGCAAGCAGGAATCAGGACCACCTGCCAGCTCCAGCTGCGGCAGAAGTGCCCTGTTGGCACGACACACCTGCCGCATACGCCCAGGTGCCCAGACGGCACACCTCCCGCCCTCGGAGGCTACCTGGTGCCTAGTTTTCTTTCCCTCCTGAGCCCTGAATTGCCTAATCGAGCTGATCGTTTGCTCAGCTGCACAAGGCGAAGGCTTTCCTGTTGGTTCCTTGACCTGAACCTGCGTAACCTGCTGGACATGCTGTAGTCCATCTGCTCCATCCTCGACCTCGAGTTCTGGGCTCCAGTCCCAGTCCAGGAGGGTCCAGAGCTGCAGCAAGTTTTCATTCCAGCTCTGACTCAGCTCTGTACTGGTCCACCTGGACCCCCCCAGGAGCAGGACTGGACACCCTGCAGACACACTGACCCCCCAGGAGCAGGACTGGACACCTGCAGACACACTGACCCCCCCAGGAACAGGACTGGACACCCTGCAGACACACTGACCCCCCTGGAGCAGGACTGGACACCCTGGAGACACACTGACCCCCCCAGG